CCCCCATTACACATTGGTGTCCCCCATGGTGTCAGTGGTTGGAGTCCCCTCATCACACATTGGTGTCCCCCATGGTGTCAGAGGTTGGAGTCCCCCCATCACACATTGGTGTCCCCCATGATGTTGGTGGTTGTAGTCCCCCCCATCACACATTGGTGTCCTCCATGGTGTCAGTGGTTGGAGTCCCCCCATCACACATTGGTGTCCCCCATGGTGTTGGTGGTTGGAGTCCCCCCATCACACACTGGTGTCCCCCATGGTGTCAGAGGTTGGAGTCCCCCCATCACACATTGGTGTCCCCCATGGTGTAGGTGGTTGGGTTCCTCCCATCACACATTGGTGTTGGTGTTGGTGTTGGTGGTTGTAGTCCTGGCTGACCAGCGTCTCGTAACTCTCTTGTCATTCCAGTCTCGGGTCCTCAAGCAGCAGCCGGGAGAGAGAAACTTCCATTCATTCTACCAGGTGAGGAATGTGAGGGGGCCGCATCCGGCCCTTATGTGCTTTCTGTGTGGCCCCTGCAGACAGCAATCTGTATTTTGATGTTTACTCAGATCAATGGAGGAAAAATATTCTATTGACTGGCTTCATGTAATTCAACGGCTTCCTGCATTTCTTCCACACTTCACTATGTCTGCAGTCTCTGACCATCTCCTGTAGTATGTCTGCGGTCTCTGACTCTCTCCTGTAGCACTTCTGCAGTCTCTGACCATCTGCTGTATCATGTCTGCAGTCTCTGACCATCTCCTGTAGTGTGTCTGCAGTCTCTGACCATCTCCTGTATAATGTCTGCAGTCTCTGACCCCTGTACTATGTATGCAGTCTCTGACCTTGTCCTGTACTATGTCTGCAGTCTCTGACCATCTCCTGTAGTATGTCTGCTCTCTCTGACCATCTCCTGTACTATGTCTGCAGTCTCTGACCATCTCCTGTATCATGTATGCAGTCTCTGACCTTCTCTTGTACTATGTCTGCAGTCTCTGACCATGTCCTGTATCATGTCTGCAGTCTCTGACAATCTCCTGTGTGTGTCTGCAGTCTCTGACCATCTCCTGTAGTGTGTCTGCAGTATCTGACCATCTCCTGTAGCATGTCTGCAGTCTCAGACCATCTCCTGTATCATGTATGCAGTCTCTGACCTTGTCCTGTACTATGTCTGCAGTCTCTGACCATCTCCTGTAGCATGTCTGCAGTCTCAGACCATCTCCTGTATCATGTATGCAGTCTCTGACCTTGTCCTGTACTATGTCTGCAGTCTCTGACCATCTCCTGTAGCATGTCTGCAGTCTCAGACCATCTCCTGTATCATGTATGCAGTCTCTGACCTTGTCCTGTACTATGTCTGCAGTCTCTGACCATCTCCTGTAGCATGTCTGCAGTCTCAGACCATCTCCTGTATCATGTATGCAGTCTCTGACCTTGTCCTGTACTATGTCTGCAGTCTCTGACCATCTCCTGTAGCATGTCTGCAGTCTCAGACCATCTCCTGTATCATGTATGCAGTCTCTGACCTTGTCCTGTACTATGTCTGCAGTCTCTGACCATCTCCTGTAGCATGTCTGCAGTCTCAGACCATCTCCTGTATCATGTATGCAGTCTCTGACCTTGTCCTGTACTATGTCTGCAGTCTCTGACCATCTCCTGTATCATGTATGCAGTCTCTGACCTTCTCCTGTAATATGTCTGCAGTCTCTGACCATGTCCTGTAGCATGTCTGCAGTCTCTGACCATCTCCTGTAGTGTGTCTGCAGTATCTGACCATCTCCTGTACTATGTCTGCAGTCTCTGACCATCTCCTGTAGCATGTCTGCAGTCTCTTACCATCTTCTGTAGCATGTCTGCATTCTCTGACCTTCTCCTGTACTATGTCTGCAGTCTCTGACAATCTTCTGTACTATGTCTGCAGTCTCTGACCATCTCCTGTATCATGTCTGCAGTCTCTGACCATCTCCTGTAGCATGTCTGCAGTCTCTGACCATCTCCTGTACTATGTCTGCAGTCTCTGACCATCTCCTGTAGTATGTCTGCAGTCTCTGACAATCTCCTGTAGCATGTCTGCAGTCTCTGACCATCTCCTGTACTATGTCTGCAGTCTCTGACCATCTCCTGTAGTATGTCTGCAGTCTCTGACCTTCTCCTGTACTATGTCTGCAGTCTCTGACCATCTCCTGTAGTATGTCTGCAGTCTCTGACAATCTCCTGTAGCATGTCTGCAGTCTCTGACCATCTCCTGACATTTCGGGTCAGTGCTGATCTCATGTGTTTGTCTTGCAGCTGCTACTGGGGGCTCCGGAGTCTTTACTGAGCTCGTTCGGCCTGCGCAGGGACCCGGCCCTGTACGTCTTCACCAGAGAGAGCGCCAATGTAAGTGATCAGCCGCCCGCCACACGTTCACAATGTCAGTCACGTGGATTGGAGTCAGTGGCGTCACAAAGGGGGTGCGGCCTGCACCCGGGTGACACCATTGCAGGGTGTGACACCAGAATGACTGACAGTCACCCCCTATGAAAGGTCGGGCACTCGGTCACGGACCGAGAGCCCGACAGTGTCAGGAGAGAGGAGGGGACCCGGTGGCATACCTCGTCCCGTCCCCTCCTCTCTCTGACGGCGTCCATCACCAAGATGGCCGCCGGCAGGCGTCAATTAGATGGCCGCTCATGCGCGATGATGTCACCGCAGGGTGTCACCCCGATCTCGGGACCCCCCCTGGATTGGAGGAACTTCTCTGCCCACAGCTCCTCAACATGACACCTGGGATACTTTGTATCTTTTCTTCCCTGCCTGGAGATCATTGGGGATCAGCGGAGGCGTGTTGTGTCTATGCCCCGCCCCTATCGGTGGCCCCTCCCCGGAGGAGCATCGGCTCTTTAGTTTTTGTTTTTTTTATCCTTCCATCTTATGAATGTTACAAACAGGGAACCATAAACAGTATACTGGGGGGGAATTTATCAAAACTGGAGCAGAAGAAACTGGAGCAGTTGCCTATGGCAACCAATCAGCTTCTCTCTTCAGTTTGCTCAGTTAAGGTTTGAAAATGAAAGGTGGATGCTGATTGGTTGCCACGGGCGACTGCTCCACATTCTGTCTGCTCCAGTATTGATAAGTTCCCCTCTAGGATTCTTTTTTTCCCCTCTTCCTTCCTCTGGATCCGCGGCAGGATTCGGGATCTCGATGTGTCTTTTTTTCATCCTGACTGTGCAACAATGTAACAATACTGAAAAGGGGGTAGGGGGAGGATCTGTGACTCCCCCTCACATGGACACACCAGACAGATCCACACGACCGGCGCGCGGCAGGCGACACGAAGCGCGTCTCCGCGTTATCCGCTCGTCGTTCCCTCTGTGATGATCTTGAACTTTTCACCCGCGCCGGGAAACGTTGCTGCGGATTCTTCATAATTCAAGAACTGCAGAATATTGTTTTCTGTCTCTGCTA